GCTCATTTGCTCATTTTGGTTGCTCATTTGCTCTTTTTACTTGCTCATTTGGTTGCTCATTTGCTCATTTGGTTGCTCATTTGCTCATTTTGGTTGCTCATTTGCTCATTTGGTTGCTCATTTGCTCATTTTGGTTGCTCATTTGCTCTTTTTACTTGCTCATTTGCTCATTTGGTTGCTCATTTACTCATTTTATTCGCTCATTTGGTTGCTCATTTGCTCATTATACTTGCTCATTTGGTTGCTCATATGCTCATTTTGGTTGCGCATTTGCTCATGTGGTTGCTCATTTGCTCATTTTGTTTGCTCATTTGCTCTTTTTACTTGCTCATTTGGTTGCTCATTTGCTCATTTTACTCGCTCATTTGCTCATTTGGTTGCTCATTTGCTCATTTTGGTTGCTCATTTGGTTGCTCATTTGCTCATTTTGGTTGCTCATTTGCTCATTTTGGTTGCTCATTTGCTCTTTTAACTTGCTCATTTGGTTGCTCATTTGGTTGCTCATTTGCTCATTTTACTCGCTCATTTGCTCATTTGGTTGCTCATTTGCTCATTATACTTGCTCATTTGCTCATTTGGTTGCTCATTTGCTCAATTTGATTGCTCATTTGCTCATTTTACTTGCTCATTTGCTCATTTTGGTTGATCATTTGCTCATTTTGGAGTGTTACCTGTTCTATTGTTATCAAATACACACTCTTAAGTCATTATGTAAACAATTGATTAAACTTCAATGAGAGGTTGAATTGACCTATTTTGATCTGTGTGCGTAGTAACTTTAAAGAAGGTAATTATATACAAAACAACTGGCATAGGTTTGTTTCTTGTCAACATGTGCAAAAATATGACATGTCAATTTTTGAAAAAATACCTTACATTTTTCTGATGGCGGATACATGAGATAGTAAAATACAATATCAAGAAGAAGAAATACCAGATACTAAAGTAGTTTATTATATGAGTTGACCACAGCTGGTCTAGACTTGTTAATAATATTTTGTCCTAATTTTCTATTCATAGTTTAAACCAATAATTTGATTATAGTTTTCCTTTTGTATATTTTGACCGAATTAGTTACTAGTAATCCTTTATGGTATCATTTTTCTATTGTGTATACTTTAGACCATATTTATGTGACCCCTAATCCTTTATGGTCGTAATTGTCTATTGTCTATTTTGACCATTATTATGTTAACCTAATCCTTTATGGTAGCAATTTTCTATTCATAACTTTGACCATTATAACGTCACTTATGTAAACAAATTAAAATGTATCATTCTCTATTGAAAAAATGGACATAAAAAATGTGTCGGGTTTTCTATTCAGAAAATCGACATTTATATTACATCATTATAAATGTAGTACTTTTTATTAAAAATTTGAACATTCAAAAAAAATGTCACATTTTCTATTCAGAAAATCGACATCGATTATGTCATTAAAATTGTCAAGTTTTCTATTCAGAAAATCGACATCATGACCTCATTAAAAAATGTCCAGTTTTCTATTCATAAAATCGACATCGATTACGTCATTATGTAAACAAATTGCCTGTGTATACCCCCACCCCCCATTCATCAAATACAAATAAAGACTGATGTAAACAACAATTAAGTCTTGTTTATTTTATAACACAAAGCAAGTACAATAGTTAAAAACCTTAACCATAACTTTCTTGACGGGATTTTGAAAATATTCGGCATTAATGTTTACAATAATTAGACCTTGTGTCGTCGCTTACCTTGAAGGTCAAAGTTCAATTGGTGATAACAGGTCGACATTGCTGTTGGTGGGAATTAGTGCTTTCTGACCCATAACCTTCTTATCTATCAGGGGATTTTGAAAATATTTGGCACAAATTGTCACAGTAATGAGATATTGTGTCATGCGCATCATTTTAATAATCGTTAATTTTTAAACTTCCAGGAAGGATTGCTACTATGATACATAAAAAAACAAAGCTAAAAATACTTACACCGATCATTGCAGGTAAGTATAACCGCGATAACTACAGACAGGCCGAATAACACTCCAAAGACAATACCAATTATAGCACATATGCTCAATTCACTGTCCTCACTGTCATCACTGTCCTCACTTGTTACTGAGCAATACAAATAAAGATGTTAAAATAATTTATGACCACATGTTCTGTACACAAAATAAATGGAAAAGAACATAATTGTATTGTGACAGGTGTATGGTAAATAATTATACAAAACAATACATAAATATTACACGGATCGATACAATATCTATATGTCGTTATTTATTAGCTTAACATTTTCGAAGAAACATTTCGAGCTATTACTACAATCAGGTTGTCGTTGCCGTTTCCGTCAATAAACTTAAACATTTGAAAGGCCTTCATTTATTTATTTATTTATTTATAATATTTTAAAAATAAAAACAACTCTTTCAACGAGGCCTTCAAGTAATTCAAATTGATTTTGACAGTCACTTATAAAACTTAAGTACAGTGAAAACCCTCAATTAAGACCACCACTGGGACTGGTCCAAAGTGGTCTTAATTGCGGGGTGGTCTTAATTGTGAATATACTTATTGCATATCATATATATATATATATATATATATATATATATATTATATATATATATATATATATATATATATATATATATATATATATATATATATATATATATATATATATATAGTAACACAATTGCCGTTGATTTCAACTGAGTATGACTGTCACGTGACCGATTATGAGTTTATGGCCCGTGCCGAAAAACTCATAACAATAATTGGCCCCCCGCTGACGCGAGTATGTCCACAAATAAGAACAATGACGTCACGTTAAAGTGAAACTATGTTTATGGTCTAAGCATGAATCGTTAGATTTTATGCGTACTTTGTACAATAACTGTTTTTATTGAAATGTAAAGAAGTAATACGACCATCGGGAGGAAATAAACCTTGCTTCTTGATTCTTACTGTCTTTGTATGCGATAAGGGAAGCCACTGTAGTAATAACTAGAGTGAGACTAAAAATAAATTGGAAAACCACACAAAATACTGCATCCCGGTATATATGGAAAAAGATGATTAAATGGATAAATACCTATATCTCGTCTTTTAATCTTTAAAACGTCTAATTCACCTTTTCACACCAATTTATTTACGAAAATGAATGAAAAATGTAGGAATCGGCGAAAAAACGATTCTGTCTATTTTGTGATTATGATTTCTGAAAGCGTCTTAAGGTATTGATCCAATCCTGTATTGAATGAAATCCAAAAACAAATAAAACAAGAGCTGTCAGTAGGACAGCAACGCTAGACTATTCTTAGTGCTTGGTAGTAAATGTAAAATTTTCTAAGATAACAAATGGGTCAAATTTTCATTTAAATCCATGTTACTGTAATAGGCCTTGAAGAGAGTCCTATTATGCTCTCAAAGAAGAGCATAAAATTTCAACTTGTTTCAAAGCCAGATGTCAATAGTATATGAAAATATCTGAGGTGGTATGCAAACTTTAACATAAATTCTAAGTCAGAAAAGGGGTACAATTCTGTCAAAATGCTTGATACAGTTATCTCCTCCTGTCTACAGATAGGGGTTACATGTATGATGGTGAACAAGTGTGCAAAGTTTCAAAGCCATATGTCAATGGACTTTGAAAACATTTGAGGGACTTTGAAAATATTTGAGGTATTACAAAAACTTTAACGTAGATTCCAAGTCGAAGAAGGGGCATAGTTCTGTCAAAATGCTTGATATAGTTATCTCCTCCTGTCACAGGTTGGGGTCATGATGGTGAACAAGTGTGCATAGTTTCAAAGCCATATGTCAATGGACTTTGAAAATATTTGAGGTATTACAAAAACTTTAACATAAGTGGTTACGCGGACGCAGACGCCGACGCTCGGGTGACTACAATAGCTCTACTTATTCTTATCGAATAGTCGAGCTAAAAATGGAGCACCACGTTTAATACCATATTTCGGTATATACCGGACAAGGTGCTTGAGTGATTAAATAATAAAATATCGCAAAATTTCATACAACGGAATGAACTTTTTTAAACGTGTAATTCATCTCTACACACCGATTTACATAGTATTACGATTATGAATAAAACATGTAAGAATCGGGGTAAAATCTTTATTGGTCTCTTTTGTTAACATGATTTCTGCAAGCGTCTAAAGGTACTGCTCCAATCTTTTATTTAGTTAAATCCAAGTTAAGATACATATATGCATTAGAAAAGGGCAGACATTTCACCAAGAAGAGCAATGTTTTTTTTTTTTGTTTTTTTTTTTTGTTGTTTTTTTTTTATTAAATTAATTAATTAATTAACTAATTTATTTATTTATTTATTTATCTTTTTTATGCTAATATCGAGTGTAATATAGACATTAAGACAGGCAAAGAGCGGCGCGGAAAGTAAAAATTGGGCCCTGGAATGTATAATGCCCGCAGGCGAAAGCTCTCGGGGCCTGTATTCATTTTGCGGGTTGATTATCACATTCCGGTTCTACTCTCATGACAATTTATTTCTTAATATTTGAGTACTTGATCGTGTTTGTAATATTTTTCGCTAATTTTGTTTAAATTGAATAACTGTAATAAAGCTGTTGTAAAAATCAGTAAATGGTTTAACCAATTGAAAGCGATATAATATTCATCGACAAATCATTGATAAGTCAACTAGATTTGTTCACAAGTTGATATGTAACTTACATATATGAAAACTGATGAAGTAATTAAGTAATTGATACTTTTATTATGATTTTATCAGTGGCATAGTTTATGAAAGCAGACAAAGTATTGAATCATTTAGAAATATCAATAATTTTCCTTACTTTATTTGAAATCCCAACGTTAAACATGAAGTGCAACGACTTGATAGATTGAATAATTCAATAGTTATAGATTACCTTAATAAATGATAATATATTATGTTCAACATAATATAAGTATACTCAATGTGCACATCAAAGAAGATACGAGCGCGCAAAAAAACAATATAAACACGACAAGGATATTAAGAAATAACGTATTTGATTTAAAAAATAAAAAAGTAACCGTTGAAAATTATAAACTTACCCTTTACTGTGTAATAATAGCTAGATGTAATATTAAGTTGCAAATTGGCCGATGCATAATGCAATAATACTTTAAAAAGGACGGTTTTAGTCCCGGATCCTGACGATTCTGTATGCTTAATTCCAACGGTTCTCTTTCCATTTACATCCGTGTTGCAATTTGTGCACGAAGATGTGTCGCTCGTGTCAATTTTGCTTGATTCATCTACAGAATATATTTCGTCTAAACCATCCTTGAAAACATTTTAAAACAGAACATATCCAACTAAGTCAATTCAATAATAACAAAAGGTAGCAAGAGCATCTTAAAGTAAAGTATTTCACGTGGACATGGTGCGACTATTACAATTTTAATGCTTTTCAATACCAACAAAACTGTTATGAATAGCATTTTGTAATGTGTAATGATTAAGAAATAATATATCCCAAACTGTGATTTTATTGCTCAATAATATCACTTTTTGGAGTTCGGATGCGGGGAATTATATCACGAGGGCGTAGCCCGAATGATATAATGATGCGCATCCGAACGACAAACAGTGATTCTATCAAGCGATAAAATCATCGATTTGGATATATTATTTCGATTCTAACACGATATCAACAAATAAATGTTGCCGTACCTGATATTAAGCAAAACTGCGCCTGATTTGTTTCCGTACTTATTGTCAGCGCGTCACATTTTAGTGGTTACGTCACGTGTATAATGATACGTCACATATCTAAATATAGAACGCCAAACAGTGTTTTATAGCATATTCTAACACGACCCGCATTTAAATTCACTATTGCATGAATATAGAAGAACCGAAAGTGTGTGTTATTATGCAACAGAGTCACAGTTGACGTTCTATATTTAGATATGTCACGTAATTATTATAGATGTGACGTAACCACTAAAAGAATCCGACGCGCTTAAAATAAATACGGAAACAAATCAGGCGCAATTTTGCTTAATATCAGGTACGGCAGCATTTATTTGTTGATGTCGTGTTAGAATCGAAATAATATATCCAAATCGGTGATTTTATCGCTTGATAACATCACTGTTTGTCGTTCGGGTGCGCATCATTATATCACTCGGGCTACGCCCTCGTGATATAATTCCTCGCATCCGAACTCCAAACAGTGATGTTATTGAGCGATAAAATCACTGTTTGGGATATAATATTTCTTAAATAACACACACTTTCTGTTCTTCTGTGTTCAATAGGGATAAATGCGGTTCGTGTCACAGACACTTGGGATGTGGAGCTTAAAACCAAAATAAAATGTATATTTTTCAATCCCAGCACATGTACTGATAATATGTATATATAAAAAAATCTTAATATAAGCCGTTTTGAAAAATAATTCATATTTCAACGTCTATAATAATTACACAAGATAAAAATATTCGCCGGAAAAAATCCGCACACCTACCGTCAACATCACCATGTATTTTATTCCATTTCAAATATTTTCACACAAATACGCCCGCTTTGAAGTATGGGAACCAACATATTACCGAATGGCTCCACAAATAGCCCAAATATCCGCAAATTTGCACACGGCAAAGCTGGGGCCACGTTTAAATTTATTGAAAGATTTTGTAAATGGGGTAAAACGGCGATAATCTTGATGTTTATTTCGACTGTTGCGTTGTTTATATTACCGTTGAAGTTTAAAATTAAACATCATCGTGAAGAATTATATCTTCTGTGTCGATGGATCAAAGGATTATGTGAAATATTGGAAATGGAATAAAATACATGGTGATGTTGACGGTAGGTGTGCGGATTTTTTCCGGCGAACATTTTTATCTTGTGTATTATTATAGACGTTGATATATGAATTTTTTTCAAATGGCTTTTATTAAGTTTTTTGATATATATGATCAGTACATGTGCTGGGACTGACAAATATACATTTTATGTGGATTTTAAAGGCGTTTGAAACTCCACACCCCAAGTGTCTGTGGGTCGTGTAAACATTTTCAGCAACACATATTTTTATCAAAACTGATTATGCATTACCTTATGTGTCGCACTGAATGTCATAAATAATAACATAACATCACATTGGATTATAAGACCAAGTTAGCTTATTTTTGCAAACATTTGTTGATAATTTTTACATTTGTATGATTGAAATATATTTTATGCTTTTGATTGGATCAATTAATATAAACATTTTTGGAAAAATTCACAGTGAAAATTATAATAATATAATTGCACACAAGAATGATTCTGTAAAATCAATGACAGTCCTCAGTCAGTTAGTTAACCAAGCGCCCATAAGATAGTCTTAATAGATAATTTTCCATGACAGTCCTTTTGAATAGTTGTAAATATATGAATTATGAAGTATACCTTTTCAAACACCAAGAATGACTTATATGGCGTCAACACATATTTTTGAAAAATAAGCGTAGGACTTGTCGATTTTGATTGATTGACTGAATACATTTCAAGAATAAAGACGAATTGTAAATGTATGGTAAAACTTTCATTGTTTAGAGTTAACTTTTTTTTTATTTTTTAGGCAAACAATTATTAATGTTAAGAGGTTATGATCGCAATCTTAAAATATTTTTTAGTTCAAGTCACTTGTGAGTATACGGTCTTGAAGCTCACTCGAAGAAATAGAATTGCATCTTACACGAAAACATATAAATATCCTCTGTATGTTATTATTGCAGCGCAGGTAATAGTAAATTTATAAATTAATATTCTAATATTTGTCCTAACTTAATAAAACAATGATAGCAGCGAATTTTCTCTGTGATTTCAGGACATATTATTATTAACATAATGCAGAATTCCGTGTTTAAAAAGAACAAAAAAACTTACAACAATTATAAACCAGTCATACTTCAAGTCCGAGAAACCAGAAATGCAGCCAGTTGTCACAGAAATAATACCATTGCTATTGTTCGACCCTGGCTCTGACATTGATGTAGGGAAGGTCGTATCGAATACTGAAATAGTTATGTACTAACGGTTTTATATGTTAGAAAACATGTCAGACTCAAAGGCAATTCCAACAAAGAAATGTGTATTATTAAGGAAAAATGAAGATTTTGAAACAATTTTCTTTTCTCATTTATGTATTATATTTATTTTGTTTATTTTGTTCGTATATATGTTATCTATTTCCTGTTTTCATGATATTGATTATTCAATGTTTTGGATATAATTTATACAATATGTATATGAAAAATTATCCCACCTATTGACGAAGGGACCATCGATTGCATTACGCTACCATCACTCGAGTCTCTACATGTTATCTTTGTACAATTACTATATTTATAAGAATTTATAGTCATCTTGTAAACATTTTCAGTCATGTTTATCGAGAAACTGTAACCACTGTACTGGGGTACGCATATTGTAGACAGCACACAGCTTGAATGGAACGCATCATCCAAATACCAATCTATGCCTGTTGCTGGTGCGTTTGTGCAAATACACGTAGTATCAGATTGTATCAAAGGATTGACGCTGTCACATGTTAGGTCGATCGCAACTAAGAATCAAAGGAATACTTATGAGTACGTATACATAAATAACTACCATTTTCTCAAAAAAATTAACACCGTCCTTTCACATAGTTACAAATAAAGTGGACTGTGAAATTCATACAACGTTTAAAATGTCAAACCTTTTTGATACATGCAGTACAATACATCATTCAAGAACAGGGTAAATATCAACTAAAACATATCATTTTATAAACTTTAACGGGTATATCATACGCTTAATCTGAAAGATCTTAAAATAAGAATTATAATATAATTAACCATTCTGTTACTATTGAATATAAAGGCGGATATTTTAAATGGCGACAATCATAAAAATTGAGATTTGTTTTTGATATCTAATTAGCAAATACCCTTCAGATATTATGGCTCTGTTGTTTCTTCAAATAGATTTTAACACAACATATACAGGTTTTTTCCTGAAAAAATCCAGATATAGTCTGCAAAACTCTTATAAAGATAGTTGTCTATCAGTTTCTTCATGCCATTACAACTTGAAGGGAACAATGTCATTTTGCTCGTAATAACATATTGCCTTCAGATGTTTAATTGAACAAAATTTAAGATTATAATGTTGTTAATGTCCTCATATTAGAAATATGACAATTTTCGATTTAACCTATGTTATAATTTGAAGTTTAACTGATGAGGTAAACCAAAAAAATATTACCCTCTTACAAGTTCCGATGAACGTGCAAAAAGCACTACGGTAACCAATGTATATACTTACCAATTGCTCTTAGAAACAATTGTGACAGTACAATCAATTCCCTAACCGCATCCATCACTGTGCTGCAATTTAACATTTAATATACACTCATGGATAATAAAAAACAAAATTTCCAAAGCTTTTGGCAGGGTAAAATTAGCTACTGCATCTTATTTCAGGAGTAGAAGTAAAAAGTGCGGTCATTATATTCATGAGAACAGTGCTTCAATTTATATTATTGCATATGACATTTGATAAATTATTACTCATAACTCTAACAACACAATATAAAAAAGTGTTAACAACACGTCAATATATTCCACGCGAATTTCCATAATGAAACATGATTAATTTGGTTTTATGCAATTATAAACAGAGGCTATAATTATATTGGACATAAAAGGGCTTATGTAGCGCTATCGCGTCAATATGTCTGCCTGCTTAATAACAAACATTCATTCCTTCAGAACGATAAAAAAGCTGTGCATCGGATTTGAGTATTCCAGAAACTACAGATCCAGAATAACAGTGTGGTAAATGGATCTTTATGGTGGGTAATATAGACCAGTTTGATGATATTTAACCGTATGACTTTGTGCTTTTCTAAGCTACAAATGTTTATGTATTCAATAAATGTAAATTTTCATGTAAGTTCATTTATCTATGTAGTCAATGACAAAAGTTTAAGAAATAGTGAAAATGCAATGTGTAAAAATATATGAAATCTTTAGAGTATGATGATGTTATAAAAAAAGCAATAATTTAATCTCAAATCAACAAATCTGCTTAAGGATAAAAATAATATAAAAGTGTTACCTTAAACATTTGCTATGTCACAATTGATACTATTAGATCAACTACGCATGAGATATTTCATGTAGATAAACTAACTTCATGAACTATGACTAAAATCTAAATCAATAGATCGATATTTAAAGTATGATATGTTTAAGTCTTGAAAATTAAGATTATTCGTCACACTCTATGGAAATATGATATATAAGTGAATGTTTTATATATTTTAAAACGTAAAACGTATCATATCAAGAAAATTTGATCCAATGTTGGAATGGTATTGAATCGATAATAATAACTTTAAAACAATAGGTCATCTTCGATAAGTTTCAAATTAACAGTCTAAGTCTATGGCATGCTACTGTGATAAATACTGTAAGTATGCTTCTTGAAATAAACAAAATAATAGGTTTTTTTATTATGTTCATCACCCAATGAATGGCAGTTTTAAACATTGCTTGTCCTAGATATAACTTTTAATTTATCAATGATATCTCGTTGAAACTTCAAGCAGTTGTGCAGACTAGTGCGTATGCGTGCAGTGTCAGGGAACTCTACATATTTTTTTATTAATCTCCCTTTGATAATATTTAACAATGCTCGTCCAGAAAATAACTTGAAAATTATTGAAATAATTTGATAAACACTTCATAGAGTGACAGAAATTTGCATTAGGAAGTGTAGTGTACAGGTACCAGAATCATACTTTGCTTCATTTTCGAATTATCTCCCATTATAGTTTTTACTGATACGTGTCCGGCCTTTAACTTTGATACTGTTAATAATATCTTATTGAAAAATCACATGGTTCTGGAAAGTTAGGGGAAGTGCAGTGTTTAAGAAATCTTACTCTTAATAACTTATCTTTTTACTTATCTCCTTTTATTGTACATACTATTATAATGTTTGTCCGGGGAATAATGTAATGTATTGATGTATTTTGTATTTGTTTTTTGGATATTTTTTTCTCACATAACTTTTGTTAGTTATGTATTTCATATTTAATATGAAGATACTTTTGGTGGTCCTCTTATTATTTTTTTTTGGTAAAGAAATTGAGCAATCCGACACTGAGGTCAGTGTTACTGGTGCTTAAACTGGATTTTATACTTTTTATATATATTTACTATATATACAACTTTATTTGTTGTCTTTTGCATTATTATTTTTAATTATCAGTTTATCTTGATTGGTTCAGGAAGTGGTCATCTCGGTCAAGTTGTCAAGACTGATAAAATGGTTTTTACATTTTTTCTTATGCAGCCTACATTTATTGAGCATTTCCCTTACTGTTAAATATCTTGGGTTATCGTCTAACATTTCGCTTCTACAGCCATTATTGATTTATATGCATTGAGTACCTCGACAGCAGTGCATACACTGCTTTCAGCGATATTCTTGTTCAAATTATTTTTCTTTTTTTTTAAATTGCTGACAGAACCACACCTCAGCATGTAAGAAAAAAGCATGCTTCTCACATGTATACGTAATGTACAATATGAATGAAAAGATGCATCAAACGACACAATTCTGAATCAATTTAATTTACCGGAGGAAGTTTTATATAAGCTATCTATATAATTATAATGTCTGCTGCTGTTTGCTGTGGACCATCTTATTACCAGTAATCACTGCTGATGAGCACGGGCCAAACACTTACAATGGGCTCGATCAATGGCTGCAGGATCGCTCGGATAAAAATCTAAAATCGATGTAAATTTTTACATGTATTGAACGGTAAATTTATATCTATCACATGGCCGCACGAAACACCTGTTTAAAGCATATACATTTCGAATTATTTCAACTATGATATAACGTTTTAGAATAGAGTTTTGGAGAGAGAAAAGTGTCAAGACGGTAGTTTTTTCTGTTATAAAATGCATCTTCTTGAGGAATGCTGCATTAAAGGTAGCAAATACAATTCTGAAGATTAATGACAAAACATTTATTTTAACAGCCTCGAGTTATATGATAATATCAACATACTTCTAGAGACAGATTGTATATATAATGTCCTAAGTCCTGATTACACTTGGTATCCCGGTACAACCGAACTTCGTCCACTTTACCACACTTCCGGTTTTAGGTTTTTAATTAAGAAAAATATATTTAATTTTAATGCATAATTTATAAAACATATTCAAACCTGTAATAACTGAAATAGTATATATTCCTACCTTGCAACTGATAATGTTTACATTTCAAATAAAATGGAAGCTCCCTCACATGTGTTACTCGGACTTTATCCAACCGAACTTCGACCACTTTGACCTTGACCTTTTACTGGTTGTAATAGTATACTTCAGGAAAAAGTTTGTGTCCATATTAACTGTCATTTTAAAAAAACTTTATAAAACTTTTTTAAACAAACTGTTTTGAATTATAATTAACTGTCACAAAACGTATTTACATGGTTATATAGTTTAGTCTACAGTTACATTTCACTACAGGAGGGACACAAAAAGTTGTCTCCCCGCCTGATGGCCTTGACAGGTGTACAAATGACAGGTGAACCCAACCTGAACATTTCTCACACTGTCCCCAATTCACAATTATCACATATGGCCGCTTACTTTATGTCTGGGGCTGAAATTTTTGCATACAATGCACTTCTCATTTTCTTAAACATTTTTTCATCTGAAGCTTTCACAACTATTGTCAATAGGAAGGATTAACTTTTCTTTTTTTGTTAACAGAAGCTCCAGATGTTCAGGTTTTGGGGATTTCTTATTTGAACTTTTAGCTTTGTTTTTGGTAATTTGTTTGCTTTTTTGGCTTTGGGTCATATTTCTTATTATGGGCAAATGATTTGTTCAACAATGTTTATCTTCAGTTATTGGTTTTCCACCAACAATTTTACTAAAGTGTATTTTTCTTTGTTTTGGCCTTCTGCACATTTTCAAGAATTTGTCCTCCTTCGTTTCTCGCAGGAAAATGCTTCCGCACAAGACATACCGCTTGACCCAACATTGCCACTTTTCAATCTTTCATCTTTGACGATTGATCCCTATCCAAATGTGAGTTGACGGTTGCCACCTGTAAGATCTGATACAGCATTTCTATTTGAATGGGAAAACACCACATCGCTAAATTGCCGATTGTATATTGCTTGGTGTCAAAGTAGATGCATAGATTTTAAAGCAAGCGGGAACATTCATACCTGGTACAATAATTCCACCCAGATTCTCTCATGTGACGATGACAGGCTCCATTCCTGCTATTTCAAAGGCCCAAAGCAACGCTGACATCAAGAGGTTGAAGGAGGTGGCTGCAAATTGGGAGGTAACAAACAAGATGATATTTTCTGCCTTAGCCCTGAATTAATTAAAGCAAATGGTCTTATGGTCCATCATATTACCAGAAACTGGTTTCTTCGGAGATCTTGGAGGTTAAGATTTAAGGGTGGTCTTTATGTTGTAGAGAAATACTTCCGTAATTTTGACCAGCCGACCTGTGAACAGTTTGACTAACCCCAGGGTTGCCCCTTCCATTAGAAGCTATCATTCGGTGCACCCAGGAAAGACAAATTAAGGTGGAACCGTTGCCCCTACAGCATTTAACTCCTTTATGTAATGTTTTGACCTCCTGATTTACTCTCGCCTGAACTTTGTGGTGTTTTCCAGACCACAATCTTTGGTGGTTGCTCTGATTCAGTCCCTTTTCATCTAATTATCATTTAAATGGGGTTTTTAGCCCTGATGGTTACTTTCACCAAATTATGTTTTTAAAGTGCAATCAAAATAACGTCAAAAGCCCCCCTTGTTTGGCAAATTCTGGCCTAAACCATGTTAAAATCCCTTGGCTTCTTAATGTTCAGTTTCTGGGCCCCTACGAATAAACTGATTAACCCACCTATCAGTTAAAAGGATGATTTTCTGTCCCCTTAAACCCAAGCTGACCAGCAAAGTTCAGATGCCAAGTTTAATAGTTTCTTGTCTGGCTGAACATAGCCTACCTCAGCCATTGTCTGTTTGCCGTTGCTTAACAAGGCCTTTTGTTCTTTTGAGGCGAATAATGTTGGACCTCCTGTGGGTTTACACGTCAACTTAACCCTTACCCACTTAGCCTGTCAATTAAACTGAGTTTTGGGCCCACTCATAAAGAGCACTTGCTTTCTATACTCATTGCATTTTTCCTTGACAGCAATATAGGCCTCAGTCAATCTTCAACATCATAGGACCTGTATGGACCCTGACATCAACTTTGGGTTATATAAAGAAAAATAAATAGGGTATTATACATCAGTATATGTATCAATTAAATTCCAATTAGAAATTACCTATTGGTGTAAGGACAGTGATGCATTTGTGTCCACGCTTTAATTATTGACAGTTATTCTAACAAATGGTTATGGTGGTTGGTTTTTGGGGCCCTGGTACAAGCGCAATAATTTAGCAGAAGCAAGTAGTAAAGTTGTATGTAGAAAATTTTCTATAAAAATTGATTTTTTTCAATCGTTAACTTTGGGAATAGGTGAAAATCGATAAAATCTTAATATTTTAAACAATGGGATAAAACAAACCTTTTTCTAATCTTTTCCATATCGGGCTGATTTTACATTGTTGACATTTCTGCTGTTACCGTAAACAAATATGTGCGCGGACTACCGGAAGCGATACGTAACTTCCTTGTTTTATTTATTTTCCGGGGCCGGTCGAAGTTTTGTTGTGGGCGTAGTTCGGTTGTGGGAGGATAGCTGATTTTAATTTTATCTGGAACTTAGAACACACGTACAGCTTTTTATTTCAATCTAAGATTTTGCCAAATGTCAATTGTAATACAAACAAAAGGAAGCCTTATTACCCCCTTCTAGCATACTTCTCCACTGCTAGTTAGCATATGAGGCATCTTCATCTTAAAATCTGTGTTGTGAGGCCTAATATACGAACAAATTATTTCCATAGGCAACATATAATGATAATTAAAACATTAAAAAAATATTTTATTTTTCTTGTTTTGCAATTTCACAATTGAAAAATGTGTTTATAGGCTTATTGGAATCTAGCGGAACCTGGAAAGATCATAATAATTTTAATACCTCGGGGGGGAATACTTTCAGGTATCCTTGTTTTTTTTCAGGCACAAAGTCGGCAGACCTTTGGGTGAGCCACCGATGTTCCCGTCCAGGTAGTTTGTTATTAGCTTTTTTTATGTCACGTAGAATTTTCAGAAGACCGTTGGCTTACCAGTTTAAAAGTCAACAATTTAAAATCAACCGGGTAGCGGAACTCCCCACTTTTTTGGATAGTTTAAAAAATTGTCCTAACTTATAAGGATTTGTTCTCTAACAATTCTTATCATTGATTTTCTAAAGCTTCCTCTTTGATTACGCCGAAATGCTGTGTTTGTTCGTTTAGCGTATAATGTTCGTGCGTTTATTCTTTTTACAAGTGTGCGTTTTAAATGAAAACCGAAACGCTCACCCTACTGCATGTACATAAGTCGTAATAAAGACATAATTGCGTAAAATGAATACGTCTATCAAGATATAAGGAATAAGAATAAAATTGAAACTTACTTTCAATAAGAATTGATAAAAAGATATTTGATTTTAATATTTAAACAAATCGCACAAATAACATTTGTTAACATATGGTAAAATGTTTTAAAATTAATGTAAAGGAAATAAATTTACCTTTTATTCGTTAATATTCTGTAAATGACAGTCCGTTGTTTTGGTGTGTTTTTTTTAATATATACATAAAAGGATTTCCAATTTGAAAAATTTCAAAGTATTAAACCTTCTTAATTTTTAAATAATAAAAAGGGGCTTTTTATTATTCCCGCTGTCAAGCAATCGATTATAATTATTTACATGGACGATCATAACCTGGTACAATTAAATCTCTTAAAGGTTTAGATATATCTACAAACGACCTTCGATTATTTCGTTTTTAAATAACCTTGAACATTTTTTACCTTTATAGATAATTATAAACATGTTCACGCTACAACCCAATTTTCTTGTAGATTTCATAGCTTTGGTCACGTGCTATAATATAAATCGTATTAATACCACCATAACATTGAGTTCACCATTAATGTAACATCGAGTTCTGTGCTAAAAGAAGGCATATACCTTATTTATTTTTTTATAGTAAATCTTTTCAAAAATAAAAAAACAGAACGGAAGGAAAACAAATATAAATTATTTTATTTTTCAGTTTAAACTTTGTCGGTATTTTATATGAAGCCATTATTAAGAAAGAGACATACAAGTGCAAAGCTTGCTGCATTGCAACAATTGAGAAGCTCCGCGCAAAAAATGCGCTCATTACAGATACCTTACCAAATCATTCCCTACGCACAGGTCACTGTTCTATTCAGCATAAAGGGTTACTAATCTGTACTTTATTCCGGAAATTCTTTTTGTAAATCGTTTTTAATGATTATTAATAACTTATCGTAGTGCCACTGTCCATAAAAGAGAGGGGACCAGAATATCAAATTTTAGAGAAAAGCTTTCAGGATACCTTACGCTTAAGGAAAAAGTAATTCGCAATTTACAAACAAGGATTTAACAAAGCTTGTAAATGTAATGTGGTATGACAATGAACTAGGTAGGACAGTTATTCTAATAAGTTTCCTCAATTTTTTAATTGGCTTTAAACAAAAATTGTATGTTATAGATAATGGGCGGACGGAAAGACATTGTTCATCATGAACGTGGTGGTAGACTTGGTAGAGATTAGAATAATTAAATGTATTTTTCTTTGAAACAGGAAAACATACAAAAATCAGTGGCAAATGAACAAAGTCTGTTTTTTTTTTAAATTGTATTAAAAAATAAAAACAGAAATAAAAAAACGAAAAAGGGGGAAAATGAAAGTGATATTACAGGGCTTTTTTAATGTCAAATTAAAGAAAAGGTTTTCTATTAATCCCGGGACCTTAAGATAAAATGATTTTTTTAAAGTAAACAGAAAAATTTAAAGTAGCACACACGGGGGAATTTTAAAATTTTTAAATTTAAAAATTTCTTTTTCAGGTTTTTTTGGGTTTAAAACAGGTTTTATGGAAAAACATCATTTTTTCAATTTAGGGAAAAAGTTTTGTTCCCTAAATTTTTAAACGGGTTTTTGGGGAAAATTCATTTACATATATTGGGGAAATAAAGGGTTATAAAAAACTTCTGACATTTGGTGATAAAAAAAAGGATTTTTGTTAATTGATTTTTTGGGGAAATAATCTACTTTTTTTTGTTAAATTTGCTTAAAAATCCCCGTCTGCCCAAAACCATTTGTGTTTACATTTCCTTTCAATAAACCTTTAACAGACCCTCATGTTAAAAACCCGCAAGACGAAAGTTTTCTTGTTAAAATATTAATAAAATTTATTGATATTTTAAATTTCCAATTTTAAAGGGGGTGGGGTTGCAAATTCAAAATTTGTTTTTTTGGGAATAATCTATTTTGGGGTTGCGGCAATTTTTTTTTTTTCCTGCAAAACTAATCCAGTTCTTTATTTAACCATAGCGGCGACACTCGAAAAGATGTTTTCCGTTTAGACTTAAACTACTTCTATAAATAAGGTTTCGGACTTTCACAAATGTTAAAGCTATGTCACTATTTATAGCTTTCGAATTCATTGTACAAACATAACCCAACTGTGAACTACAAAATATTAAGTAATTTCTCCTAGAAAATGCAAATTTTAAGGAAAAAATTGAACAATTTTAAGTTATTTATTTTACATTCCCAGCGGCTGAAATTCCGTTTCTTCCCAAATAGACATTCTTGCGTCCCCGAAGGGGGAAACCCCTATATGACTTTACATAATAGAAATCTGAAGGAATTCTTAAAACCGAATTGATTTTACCTGTAAATCGAAGAGATACATTGATAAAACTCGGGTCCATGGACAAAAAAATAGTAAACACAAATACCTCCGCGCCTGTGGGCGCAGAGCAATAAGACATCAAATCTAAATATAAAATTTCCTTGTTGTTCTGTGCAAAGAAAAATGTGCAAAAAAAAATACAATAGTCATTGTTGTTGCCACCGTTAAACAAAATGATGTTTTTTTCGAGCTTGCGATTAAAAAAAAACAAAACAAGAGTTTTTAAATTATAAAAAAATTTGCTCAAAAAATTTTTTAAATAAATGCTTTTTTTAGAAATGTGTCTCTAAATATTTTGTCATTTTTCAAATGGAGCCCCTTTTTTCCGGCGCATTAATCCTTATCCTTATTATCATAATACCTTAGATTAAATGCCACATCTGAACGTTTAACGTGAATTTCATTAAATAAGATTTATCGTTCGTTGATTCGCAAATTTCAAAGTATTGGCTTCCCCCTTCATTGACGATACATTGCTTCCATCGATTGGAAATATCTTCAGTTCCATATAGGCAATTTAAATTGTACTGATTCTTGCCAAGTCAGTTGGTTTTAGTTTCTGTAATATATAGGATGGTCGTTGTCATCTTCCCCGTAATACAAAATATACAGTGATAGTATACTTGGAAAGACTAAAATAACAAGTTTATTTATGTGTTTGCTATTCATTCTGAATAGTATTTTACCAAAAACGAATGTTTTAAGCTTGCATGCAGTTATAGCAATTTATAATGACCAAAACCCATAATTTTTAGTAATTGAACAGTATAAAGAGGTCCATAATTATAAAAAAATCATCTTTTTTTATGATGCAAATTGTAATGTATATTTGTTTTCCCCCTCACGCAGAGCATTATGCTCAAATCAAACAATTTAATTTTATTATATTTTATTAAAAAAATTTAAGATAAAATCAAATCAAGAGTCAAATATTTATATCATAAGGCAAAAAGCAGATGTTATAAAACATGATATTTTGTTTTAAAAAAATATGAAATTATTGAGTTAACATTTACCTATCTTGCATGTTTCCCTTTGTTTATTTTGGTCCTTTTTATTAACACATCTATCTGAATCATAAACCCATTGTCTTCCTCCTTTTTGTTGTTTTCTTTTCTCGTCTAATATTTAAAAGAAATATTATGAAACAAAACCGTGATGATTAAACTTAAAAGTTTAAATGAAAGAAACAGTTATACAGCTATTGTAATTCGAGATGTTTGTGTTTATCCTTTCGTAAACTTCAACTGGTTAATTAGATTAAATCATTTGGTACCCGGGTAAAATGAAATATTTTAACATCAACAAATTTGGAAATATTTAAAAAAATGTAATTAAAAGAAAAAATAGATTTAAATAAATAATATGAAAAATATATCCGCCCTTTGACTATTTTTAAACGATTCTTTGTTGTTCCTATAAAGGGGAATTTTAAATTTTTATTTAAATTTTAATCACCTGTCTTTTCGTTTCTAGATTTTGTTTTTTTCCCTTAGTGACCTTTTTTTAAATTAAAAGTAAAAAAACAAGTTCTTTTCATGTTTCTGGGGAAACTCCCGTATTCTTTTTTCCGGTTCGATCAAAAAGTAAAAGTGCACTTTTAAGTATTTAAAACGAAAAAGCTTTTTTTAAAAAATGTGTATAGCGTTTTTAAAAATAAAATCGACCTTATATTTCCCTTGTTAAAAAACAACGCGTGTGAGCCAAAAAAAAAGAAACAACGTTTTCATTTATGGCTAGATAAAACCCAAAAAAACGATCACCTCTTTTTAAATTCCATACGCCAGCAAAAAATCCAAGAGAAGAAAACCCCGCCCAATTCCACTTCCAATTGCAAACCCTTACATTTAAAGTCGCTCTTTTTCGGGTGACACTATTAAAAAGTGTAAAAAACGTTTTTAAAAAATAATTTCACTTTTTTTTAAAAACTTCAAAACTGATACGGTAATTTTGTTTTGAACTTCAGGAAAAAAAATTTACTGAAATTTTAATAAATAATCAAAATGCAAAACAAATTATCAAAATTAATGGGATCACCCAAATGTGGCCCAGGTATGCCCTTTCTGATCGAGGCCTCATAATTGCGCTACCTGATCGATAGAGGCGATTAAAATGGGTTTGAATTAAAAAGGCTATGCATCTCTTCTTCAGCAGGTGATGTTGATTTGAAATCTGAGTTAAGCCAAAATTCTATTTCCTGTTTTCGGCGGCAATATGACCTAAATTGGTATTGGTGCGCTTGAAAACCAAAAAAACAAAAATATGGGAATAGATATTTCAAATAAATATTTATGCAGAAATATTTATATGAACATATCTATTCGTGCATCAAAATTGGTCTAATCAACATACATTTTGTCTGAATATAGAGAACGTCGGACAGTTTAAGATTTCCCAATTACCATAGGTTCAGTTTATGTCTTAGGTAAAGCAACAGCCGATATAATGTCATTCTTCCACCAGAGAGACCACTTCTAGTGTTAGATTATAAGAGGCAGATCTTCGCTACCTTTGGAACAACCCTCATTATCCAATTCAAGTCCAAACTCTCTGAGTAATTTAAATACGAAGGTGTTGGGGTCTTCCGCCGTTAAAATGAAAGGGAGCCACTGAACTCGATAGTCCGATTCAGTTTGATCAATTCATGCAATAGCAGTGAATCCTGACGGAGGATCTGGCAGGTTTATCTATAAAAAGAACAGCTGTCTGTCACTTTTCATTTAACAAATAAGCTCGTGGTTATCAATAGAAATGAAAAGATAGTAAAGCTGAGCATTGAAATAAAAGTTTGAGTTAAAAGAACATCATAATTATGTATATTAGCGTTAGCATTGTATTAAAGAAGT